TACTTATTGGTTAGATGAAATAGATTAGGTTTAAAAATGAAACGTCTTTAATATTAAGGAATACTGCTATTTTTTTTTAAGAATACGATTCAGTGTAAATTATGAGAAAACTTTTTTATTTAAAGAAATTTTTTTTTATAAACTATGCAGTAGTACGTGCTCTTTTGAGATTTACTGCACCACTGATGCGTCACTATATGTAGTACGAATTTGTATTGGTTAGTTATGTGGCATAACAGACATCTAGTGTAACCTGATGTCTAGAAGTATAACAATCATGGCACACAATACATACTATAACTATACCACATGGCATGGCACTCATGGCATACTACCTTATTACCACACATGGCATAACGGCAATATGACCCAAAGGTAGTACTACCATTACGTCATAGCCGTAATGCCGTATGTAGTTACTACCCTGAGAAATGTCTGCATCATTACATAACTGATAATATTCATCATGTCTAACAATTTAAATATACAAACTATACCTACAGAATCTCTCGACCTTGCACTTATTCTGCACAGTAGAATTGAGTTAAAAACGTGGACTGGAGATATAAAAGCTGAAATTAAAAGTTTTTATAACGCCATTGAACATGCTTTACAAGATACTACACTTGATACTCAAAAACAAAAAAAACTAGAAGATTTAAAAGAAACGTCTGAAGATGTGGTAAATATTATTTTTAATCAGATTATACTATTACAGTATGATGGATTTTACATTATTTATGTAGCAAGCACAGCTTAGTAAGAATTCTATTATGAATTGTTGCAACGAGCATGACTTAGTAGAGATGTTTTTCTGGTTTAAAATATTATCGAAGTAGGGTTGACCTTGTTGTATTAATCATTTTTTGGGATTCTGAATTGGGGCTGGCTTTGTTATCTAATAAGTTAAAGGGCATGCCGATATTTCTGACTTAATTTTATCATCAATTAGATTTTATTTTATATAAATTTTATCTAACATTTTAACTTATAATTTAGGTAAAAGCTACCGTATTAGCGATAAGTTCCTTACATGAAAATAATAAACTTGCTATTTCTTCTTCTTCATGTAAGAAAGAGAACAATCAAAATGATATTTGTAAACATATCTCAAATTTAAAGAGTATATTGGTAAGTACTATTAGCTGTTATATTTACTATTACTTTTTTAATTTTAATGCGATATTTAATATTGTGTTTTATCTATTATTATAAATTAGGCTTGAAACAAGTTAGATCTAAAATACTCCGATGAAGCACGCAGTGCTTATGATGATATTTATAATGCATTGGAGGCTTTAAATAAGACAGATCTAACAGAATTTGATGACAACGATCCATTAACAATAGAGGTTATTGATATTTCTTCCGAGTGGGCTAGTTCTCATCTTAAAACTAATACGATTGATTTTCTTAAGGTATTGTAGATAATTTTAACCATTAAGTAGTATTATAATAAATTATTTAACTATTTAAATTATTTTAGGAAGATTTGTCAAAAAGATTAATTTTAGATAAAAGTATAACAGAAGAATGTAAAGGAATAATCCAAAAACATCATACGAATAAAGATTTAAAGTGGGTTATTTCTGAGGGCTTCGTTCCTTCTTTAGACAAATGGGTAGAAAGCGTAGAGTCGCAAAAACATTTCGCACAAAAAATTCTTGAATGTTTGTATATAAATCATTGCGGCGAATTTATGAAACTCGGGTACTTTGACTAACTATGAAGTGTGTTATTTACTATTTGTTTTTTGACATTTCTTATTGTAAAATCATATAGATAACGTCTAACCCATCTTTTTACGGGAAGATGGGTTAGACGTTATCTATATGATTTTACAATAAGAAATGTCAAAAAACAAATAGTAAATGACGCACTTCATAGTTAGTCAAAGTACCCGAGTTTCATAAATTCGCCATGATGTTGTTAAGGATTTATTTTATTATTAATTATCTATTCTAAAATTCTTATGTAATTTTTTAGAATTAGCATTTGGAATTTAAATACAATTTGGTCCAAAAATCAATCCGAGAGAATTTACGTAGCACAAATTGTCGAACCACTTATTTCTGTTGCGCTTGAAGATCTACCTATAGATATTAAATATGAGTTAAAGTAAGATTGTGTTAATTTTTAAATTAGGCTATTTTATGGTTTGAAATTTAGTCAACTACTTTTTTTTATATATTTTTAGAGGAGAGAATCAAAGTCTTGCTAGTAAAAATTATAAGTTAAATTCTTCAAACTCTGCAGTTGGTAATCATCCAGATATAATGTTTACTATAAAAATTGGCGAGAATAATCTTGAGTTGCTTTATGTTGAAAGTGGTCGACGTCTAACTACCGATAAAAAGGTTTTTGCTGATCATAACAAGTTAGCTTGTTTATGCAAGGGGGGGGTATGATTACATAACCACTCGGAAAAGATTAGACAATAAAAATGTTCATTCTTTCCTTACAATTTTAGGCATAAATATAGCCGGTAAGTTGAATTTTACGATATTTAACATTATATATAAAACTAATGTAAAGTTTTATAGGCGATCATATGAAGATATATGGACTTCAACGGAAAGATAATCTTTACTTTTATTTTCCACTTACCGAAGCCTACATACCTTTAGAAAATGCTTCATGGGAAAATGTTCAAGACTTAGTTTACTCTCTATTATTAATACGAGTATGTTTATAAAGCTTTTTAGTTTATCAATATAATACCCAGTTTAGCAATAACTATTTAACATAAATATTATTTTAGAATATTATTATAGTTGTGGCGCATAACTTGAAGATTGCTAAAAAATCTAACAATTCGAAAAAAGGCAAAAGAAAAGCCAACACATAAAGCTTGATATACTTTGACTTTTGCATGTTATGTATATAGAAGAATTTTATTAAATAAAAATTCGTGTACAGTAATTAATTTGGAATATAGTATTGTTTTCAATGATATAAATATTCAAATAATTAGTTCTAAGTTTAATATTAAAAGCTGAAAAGGGATCAATAATGCTTGTTCATTGACCACCCACAGCAAAAGGAGGGGGCCAAAAAATGGGAGGTTTAAATTTATAATATTTCATTCTAATCAATCACAATTCTTCAAGATATTGAATTTTTTTAAAATAATTTTTTTGGCCCATCCTGTGGAGGGCCCATTTAATTTTAAAAACACATGTTTTGATATTTCCCGCATTATTGAACTACATCATAACAGGTTTAGAAAATATGCTGTTTCAATATTTTGGTAAGATATCGTTTGGTAAAGGAATAATTTTAATATATTAATTTGATATGGCAACAGTATTAATAATATTTTTGAAAGTTTTAAATTTCTACTGTACTTTAATCAGTCAATATAACGATTTGGGATTATTAATATGACCATACGAACATCGCAAGTATGTTGCTACTCCGAAATTAATCATATAACATGTGCTAATTTGTTGACTAAAAATCAGGCCTACCTAGAGATGTGCTTCTCGCGCGAAATGATGATGTCATAATATTATCTTGCGCGAGAATCAATTGAATGACATCAGCATTTCGCGCGAGATGCGCCTACCGAATAATTGATTGTAGGGGTAATTAATTGCAATTTTTCAAGCTCAATTAATTGATTGGTGGAATATGAATTTTGATTTTTCCAGTTACGTTGTACATAAAATTAATCATTTGGGCAAAAGCCTTTTGTAGTAACCTGCAAAGAATTTTGACTCATTTTTACAATACGCTAAAAAAAAAAATTAATCTCCGTCAATCAATCGACTTATATTTTTTTTTATTAGAATTTTGAACAAATTGATTTTGACTAGTAATATACTAATTATAAGATCAAGAAATATTTTTTTGAAAACTAGTTACTAAAAATTTTATAGTAAAACATATTGAAATTTGCTAGTAGTAAAAAATTTTACGCTTACCTCCCGAATGTTCATTAGTTGATACGCTAATAGAGCTAGGATATGGTGATGGTGGTTGAGTCGGATTCGACATCACGTTCGATAACGCACTCAACATCATAGATGAACTAGGTCCTTCTAGCATTAGTGTGGTGTCCTGAGTATCTTGAATAACAGGAGTAACTAGAGTAATGAAAGATTGCTGTTAGGTCAGTGACAGATATTACATATAAATAATTTTCATTAACGCTAATGACAAGTAGATCAGTCTTTAGTAGTAAATAAAGTTGTTCACGAATGAGTTTTAGATTTTAAAGAAAAAACTTAATTTTTCGTGGAAGTGTAATATTAAGTAGATTAAAATTCATAAAATTTCAAACTATATAAAATTCATTCGTGAGAACCTAATTTACTACCAAAGGCTGATTGATTTTTATATTATTAATAAAAAATTTTATGTGACTATAGGCATAATTAAATAAATTCAGTGCTTGAATTCTTTCCATCAACCCTTGATGGGGTCTTTGCCTTGAAAATGACCTTACGGTACATGATGCCGTAAGGTCATTTTCAAGGCAAAGACCCCATTTTTCTCTTGATCGTCCTTAAGTTTGTAGTCAAAGTCCTACAAATTTGTTCAACTCCAAGAGTCGCAAAAAAGGTCGTATATTCGTGTAAATCCCGTCATGTAGTATCTACTATCAATAATGGGAGCACACCTTTAGTTACTGATTCAAATAGTTCTCCTAGGTAATAAGCGTAATTATTGTTCCAATTCGATTATAATCGTTTTGCCCTCAAAAATCTAATGCATACTTCAAGTATCTGAGGTTTGAGATCGGACGATAGACCATATGGTCGAGGTGTAACACTAACATTCACTGGTGTGCTCCGAAGTAATTCACTCAGGATAGAATCAACATCGACATTCATTTTAGACCTAAAAAAACGAAGTTATTATTATGTAATAAAGATAGAGGAAAGCTCTTAAATAAAATAATAAAAAAAATATAATTTTCAAAGATTTCTCTACAAATACAAGATTGAATTGATTTTTTTATTTCAATTCGATATGTTTGTCTTTGGCCTTAAAAGATTTTGGGAAATGTTCTTTTCGTGGTAATTCATTAAAAGAACTTTGTTCAAGTTCATTTTTTCAAAAAATGTTTTTACCATTCAGTTATTTATACGTAGTTCAATAGCATAATCTCCTAAATTTGCTGCTCGGATTAGCCGTGAACCGATGTTAACCTGGAATTACCTCTCGGAAACGAGGTCAACGGTTCAACTAATAACAGGGAGTCACATGAGCACGGGGACACGAAAAACCGTGCAATGGTATGTTACAGTTGTAGGTTTACGTTTATAATGTATGATTTGACAATTCGAAAGAGTACGTGTATGTTTTTAGAATCAACAAAGAGAGTGTCCTTTATTAAGTATATGGTTAATTATAAAATGCTATGGCAAGCATGCCTACAAAGTGGAGCGAAACTCACCCATTTATATAATAAAAACTATACTACTAATTACATATGGCACTTATACTATTAACGTCCCAATAGGGTGATCATCAAACTAATAAAATCAAACTATAAGTAGGCGTACATATAAAATTTACTATGTAAGGATTTTTTAC